TATATATATATATATTTGATTAATAACTTTTTTCAGCAGATATTTTTTATCAGTAAGGCAAGCATGCTGTACACTTACAAAGTAGTTATCAACTAAAAGTAAACAATCTAATTTTCATGGTTCTGGGTCATTTTGACCCAGTATTTTCTGTTTCTGTTTTGGGTTTTTTCTAAATTATGATTTGATCAGATTTTTGAGTTGTGCTGGTTTGATTTTGTATTAAGGGTTATTCTTGGTTGTGTTCTTTTGACGTTATTTGTTGTTCTGGCCTCAAGTTTAAGTCACTGTCTTCTCTGTTTCATGTGTTATATTGTCTCAGTCTGTCTCTCAGTGTCAAGTTTGAAGCCCTGTGTTTTCCTTTGCTCTCTGTCGTGTCGTACCCTCAACATGCTGTGTGTTTGTTATGTCGAGGCTTCCAGTGCCTCTGTTCTGAGTTTTGTTTTGTGAGTTTATTTTACGAGGAAGTTTTGCCAGCAATAAAGCTGCATTTTGAGTTCCAGTCCCGTTTTGAGAGTCCTGCATTTTGGGTCCTTTTTCCTGCCTGCCTGCCACACAGCACAGCCATAACAGTAATGTTTAAGTATATAGACTTATAGGTGGCTGCTCACTACAAATATACTTCAAAAAGTGATCAACAGATGTGTTTCAACCTTCCTTGATTTGATATGAATCATAGTATGGCTGCACATACAGTACATCCTTACTTACAATGCATTATTACAGAAACTTGAATCAACCTCAGAATTTGAACCTTGGGCAGAAGGTTAAAGCTTATAACAAACACATTATTTGCTTGTAAGTCTGTGGAAAAATTTGGGTGCTGTGCTTTAAATTGTTTACAAGTATTTTTTCAAGTCTCGGACCACAAATCCTGTGTCAGAGTCTGTGTTTGCAGACTGTGTGGAGGTTGGATTGTGGACCAAAAACAGACACATGGAAACAAAACGTGAGCCAATTTTTAAAAAATTGGTGAGCAATAGAAACGGAAGGTACAGTAATTCTCTTCTCTATGGTCTACCTCATAAATCGCTCCATAAATTGCAGCTAGTTCAAAACACAGCTGCACTTGTTGTTTGCAGAATGAGATCCACTGAACATATAACACCTGTTCATAAACAGCTCGACTGGCTTCCAGTTCACCTCCGTGTCAATTTCTCTCCTCCATATTTATCTGATCCTCTCCACACATACTCGCCTTCTCGTACACTCCACTCTGCTTCAGCTTCCCTTCTGTCTGGTCCACCTGGTTGCCTGACTGCCATGGGACTCAGAGCCTTTAGCCGTTCTGCCCCGAGACTTTGGATGCACTTCCACCAGATCTCCGGACTCTCTCATCACTTTTAAATCACATCTCAAAACCCACTGTTCATCTTTGTGAGCAGTTTTTAAATCACTTCACTGATAAAATGTCTACCTTAAGAGCCTTAAAAGCTCCGGTGATGTGCCAAGCCCCTGATTTACGCTGCTCTATGACACTTGCTCAGTTCGAACCAGTGTCACTTCCTACCCTTAAGGGAATTATTGGCTGTTTAAAAAAATTCTGTTCACGACATTCTCCCATTATTAAGGAGGGATTTAATGTAATTGGGCCTTGTATATTATCACTAATCAATCTTTCTTTGTCACTGGGTTGTGTTCCGGCTGCCTTTAAACATGCCGTAGTGAAACCTGTTCTTAAAAAGCGTTCCCTAGATCACTCAAACCTCGCTAATTATCTATCTCCTATCTCGCAACTTCCGTTCCTGTCAAAAATCCTCAAGAAGATAGTCCTATCACAACTTCAGACCTATCTGAATGCGAATAACATCTGGGATAAATTCCAGTCTGGGTTTAAACTACGGAAACGGCACTCTTGAGGGTC